TGTTCGAAAAGGATGAGGTATAATTGGCTGGAACACGGAGTTAATTAGTTACAGGCTACCTTTTTGCCCTGGCTCTGTCCGTACGACACGGGGCGCACCTGCAATTTGCTGCTGTACATAAGTGAACTAATTTCTGGAGAAGGGCGAAGCTTCTTCACCTTTTCTTTTTTTTTTTTCTTGCCCAGCCTATTATTGCAGGCCTGACCCTGGTTTCCTAAACTGTCTCAGCAGCTGTATCAATTAAAAAGAAATAAATCATGGATTAAATGGATATATCGATGATAGATTCATTTCTGCTTCGGCCTTTTCCATCTGCTCATTGCATGGTGAAGTACTTGAGCTGGCTTGCACTGATTTCCCAAGAGAAGCAGCAATGTAGTGTGCTGGGTAAAAGGAAAATGGCAAAACTGTGCCCCAAACAATATTCCTGCCTCAGAAGGAGCATATTGAACATTATTAACAGAATGTGCAAATTAGGAGAGGGGAAGAGAGGCTAAGACAGTTCAGGCTGCGTTCAACCCATTGCGTTCAGGTATTATGAAGCTTCCAGGACTCCTGAAAATGTAATTGGGCGCAATGGAAGTATTTATTTAAAAATAGTGATAGCCTTCAGGCTAAAGTTACAAGTGAGCTTTTTAAAGCAGTCAGCAGTAACCTTTCCTCCAGGCCCGGTTATCTTTTCTTCCCTTGCAGAGCAGACCCGTGGGAGATGCAGGGTCGAACCTGGCCACCCGTACGCCCACCCCACCTCTCGGGAAGTCAGCACCCGATGCTAGAGGCGAGGAGGGTGCCTGCGAGAGCAGGGGTGAGCGATGCCACCATGAGGAAATGGCTTTTATTCTCTGACAAAATGTGGCAGCACTCCAAGAGAAAACGTTTACTTAAGCACGCTCCCTTGATCTTGTCTTTTCCTTTCCCTCCTGGTGTTCACATGGGGGGGAAACAAGGGAAATCTGCCCTGTGAGGCTGGATGTGGAGCCGCCTCTGTGGGCACAGCGTGGTGTGATGAGCCAGTCTGGAGGAATTTGCCAAAGCCAAGCTCTGTCCTGCCTCCTGCTTTTGCTGCCCGCTGAGAAAAGCAAAGGAAGAAGGGAATCGCTGCCCCAGGTGACCCTGGGCCCCGAGTCATCTGGGGGTGTCGGGAAAGAAATGCATCTTCCTAGAAGCCAGCGGAGCTTCGGTAGGGCCGTCCTGTGGTTAAAAGGAAAGATCTTTTGTAACTTTAGTCGCACATGTCCTGGGTTTCTGTTCATTAAGTTGAGATGCTTAAAAAATGTGAGCCCGTGGTCACTCCCTGAGAAAACGAGTGGGTGGGGGAGAGGTGGGAAGAGCATCTCTTCAGTGCCTTAGTGGGAACTTCATGAAGACCAACGACTCATTTCCCTCTCCCAGCACGTTGTGCGGGGATCCCAACGTCTTTCCGTTGAGGGCAGTCTGTGTAAAAGCTTTGCAGCATTAGTTGATTTCCCCACTTTGTTTTCACTACTCTAATAAAAATTGCAGGTCATAGAATGGTTTGGGTTGGAAGGGACCCCTAGAGGTCACCCAGCCCTGCAGTGAGAAGGGGCATCTTCAACTACATCAGGCTGCTCACAGCCCCGTCCAACCTGACCTTGAATGTTCCCAGGGATGGGGCCTCCACCACCTCCCCGAGCAACCTGGGCCAGGGTCTCGCCACTCTCACTGTAAAAAATTCCTTCCTTATATCCAGCCTGAATCTAGGTCCTCTTTAGCAGCGTGTGTAAGAAGCAATGGCCTAGCTGCCCCTCGCTGCTCTGGCCAATGTCCACTTCTCTCCAGAAGCCCGAGCCCTGCCTCTGTCTCTCCTCTGCTCGCTCTCCGTGGCTCTGGTTAGTACTTTCCTTCTGCCTGGGTTGATTTTACTCTCCTCTAAAGACATGCACGTAATTACTCAGGGTGATGAACTTGTTGCTCGCTGCTGTTTGCAGGACTGGGTCCTGAGGCTAGTTTGCGACGACTTTAAAAATGCGTGGTATACAGTTATTAGGCAGTAATGGCTGGGAACGATCCTACGCAATCCTTTTTTCTTTGACAGCCCGACCATAAAGCGACTTCATTGTTTAATGCATTTTTCTCTTCCGTCCTAAATCACTACGGAAGCGTGTGCTTCCACAGCACATTTGCATTCTTGATGCCTCTAACCAGTGATTGCATAATTTTATAGACCTGTTTACAATCCATTTTTTGTGTCCAAACAAGTATGCGAGGCCAAATTTTTTCCTGGTGTGTGACTCCACTGACTTTAATTTAGTTACAGAACGGAAGATATATGTACGTGGGTGTGGATTTTTGAAAACCTAGCAGAAGGCACTGCAGCTGTGCGGCAGCAGTTGTTCAAACAGCAGTGGTTCAGCTGTGTGTTCAAACTCCTCCTCCATTTCATCCGCTTTGGAAGCCAATGGCTTAAAAAAATACAATCTGCAATCCAAAATTCTTCCTCTAGAAAAAGATTTTGGCAGAGCAACATCCTTAAGACCCAAAAAACGACAAGCACTTAACTGTGACTTTGTACCTGCTATATGAATAACCATAACCCTGCCAGCGGAGGAAACATTAAATAATGTTAAACAATAAGCAGAGGGGAGGCAATGTGGGGTGGGTGGGAAGTCCGTGGTCTCATTTTCCCACAGTTTTCCTGGTACCAGCCCGCAGGGAAGGTTTGGTACAGGCTTTTCTGCTTCCCAGCCCACATGGGGGCTCGTGCTCTCTGCTCGCACGCTGACTTGGAAAAACCTCCATGGTGGTGCCAGGCTTCCCAGCCTGCAGATGTCCCAGGGCTCTCCCAGCCCAGCGCTTCTGGCTGCCGTGGGATGATGATCCTCATACAGAGTGCAAAAGCTTCTTACAGTTTTCTGCCGGACTAAGAGGGGAAAGAGGAATTCAGCCTGCTCCCCCCACCCAGCAGAGGCTCTGCTGTCCTGCGGGGAATTGAGAAATGCTGAAGAGAGAGTGCCACGCAGGCCACCGATCCCCTTCCGTGGGGAAAGCCTCACCCTCCGGGCAGCGAGGATGGGGAATGCGATGCAGGCTCAGCACAGCTGCCTCTGCTAGATCTGAACCAAAGGCTGTGGGAAGTCAATCAAAGTTTAGACTGAGGGGACCTTGATTTAGGCTCCTTGCAGAGCACCTGCAGATTTGGCACGGACACCCCAGGCCATGAGCCATCAGGCTGCTCAGTCTGAGAGTTTTGTGCTTCACAGGCAAATACGAGCTTCTCCCCATGCTCCAGGTGCTGCGCGTGAGCCCGGCACTTCCAGGTTAGGGATCTACTATCAGGAGCTTATAATTTTCCCAGTCTTTAAGCGTACAGACTGAATTCTTCCATCTCATGTGCCTGGCTACTGCCAGGGAAAAGGTTGGCAGAATTGGCTCCACCGTATATGAAAATGGGATTAGGGAATGATATATTTGGTCCGCATTAAAAACAAACAATCAAAGAAACCGTGCGACCAGATGAATCTCATCATACTGAGTGCTTCTAGCCCAATCGCTATCGTTAGACTCCTATATGAACACGATAAAAGCATTTAAGCCCAACTTTTCACACCGGGCACTCAGTGGTCTTCAGCTTCTGGAGGCTGTCAGAAGGTTCGACAGTCTGAGGTGCAAATGCATGTTGAGCTGTTGCAGGCACGACTCACATCAGCTGAACGTACAATTGAAAAGCTGAACGTGAAAGCAGAACTCGGTACCCAGAGAAAACAAATCCTGGGCATCTCCGATCGAACGCTCAAACGTTTTTGACATAAATCTGGGGTTTTGTTCTGCATCTGATACAAAATACGGAGCAGCCACTTGTTCGGTGTGTTGTGCAATGTATGCAGTCGTGCAACTGAATTCTGGAATGTATTGTATGTGCGCCAGTTAAGGGAAAATGTGTTAAACAGGACTTTAAGAAAACCCCGAGCTTTGCAAAATTATCACTGTTGTAATGTGGTGTTCGTTTGTAGTTAACAATCAGGTGATCTTGGTAGGAGGGGATGTACACCGCGATCCCGTAGGGCAGATAATAAAGGAACAGACTCACGTTAGAGCTTCAGAGTAATTGTAATGAGGAGAGACTCCAAGAAACTTCTGCACTTCGTCCATCACAGTAGCCGGGTCGCTTCTTAGCTGCTGTCCATCAATAATGAGCAACTGTAGGGGTAAATATGCTAGCTGTTTAGAAACAGGACTAAGGTTAACGGAAGGATGGCATTATTTCCCTTCTGTGCCGATGTGGATTTTCCAGTGTTTCACCACCCTCATTGTAAAGAACTTCTTCCTTATATCTAGTCTAAACCTACCCTGGTTTAGTTTAAAACCATTACCCCTTGTCTTGTCACTGCTGGCCCTACTAAAAAGATTTTCCCCATCTTTCCTATAGGCCCCCTTTAGGTACTGAAAGGCCGCAATCAGGTCTCCCCGCAGCCTTCTCTTCTCCAGGCTGAACAAGCCCAACTCCCTCAGCCTGTCCTCATAGGAGAGGGGCTCCAGCCCTCGGATCATTTTTGTGGCCCTCCTCTGGACCCGCTCCAACACTTCCATGTCCTTCAAATTAGCACGTGATTTTGTATACTGCTAATAACAATCATATGGGTGGGCTTCTTTTTAGATTGACTTTTTGCTTTATTATGCTGAATTTATGTAGGTGGGTGCCTTGTAACTCTGTGTGCACACATGGTTCAAATGCAAGAGTTAAATCTCACCAGCCAAACCCGAGTCTCAGAGAATTCTGAGAAAAAGAGATAAGGAAGGAATGTAAAAATAGTGTTGAGGTTTGCAATGTGTCCGTAGAAAATCTGGCACGGTAAAAGAAAAATAACAAAAAGTTCATTTATATTTTAGAATTAAATTTTCAGAAACCATGCGTTTACATGTTCAAAAGTGGTGATGTGGCAATTGATTTGAGACTTACCCCCTGCCTATCAACCATACAAAATTGTTAGCAAAGGGGTTTTGGTTTTTTGTTTTGTTTTTAATTAAAGATTGATGTGATGTAAAGGTACAGTGACCTCCATAAGCAAATGTTAAGTTAATGTATCAAAAGTCTGCTGGAGTACCAAGTGGTGTTACTAATAACTATGCTGGGCAGATGTGTTTTATATTTATTGTGAAAGCTTATTATGAATTATTAAGTTTTTGAGTGCACAGGCCGAGTGAATGCACATTGCTGAGTGCCCATTAGTAAGCACCGTGAGTGCGCTCGCTGCGCGCACCTGATTAAGAATGAGTGCATTTTGTTGTGTATCTTGTAAAATTAATCACTGTAACTACAAAACATGAGCGGTTACCGGTTTCACAAGAAATATGTCAATGTGCCCCTGAATGTTTAATAAGAGGGCTGCACTCGCTCTTCGCTGTGGCAGGGAAGGAGAGAAATCTTCCTGAGAAGGGGCAGCAGCCCCGGGTGAGGGCAGAGAAGGAGCACAGGGGTGTTGGGCACCCTTTGCATGCTCCGGATTTGCTGGGACAGCCCCTTCTCCTTCGGAGGAAGAAGTCACGCCGTGGTGGCCGATAAGGAGACCTGCCCAGTTTGCTCCTAGGACAATGCTGCCTGGGGACGGCCCTTGCTGGAAGCTCAGCTGCTTAGGCACTACTCTTCCCCCATTTACGAGAGAGTAGGGTGGCCAGAGATGAAAGAAGAAAGTAAATGACTAAGGCTTTCTCCTGGAAATGGGGTTGCCCTGCTTCTCCTCTTTGTAGCACGGCTGAGACTGTATAAGAAGAAAAATTAGGATTGCAGAAAGGCAGAGCTTCTATTTCTTTTTGTTTTTCCCACATCCCTGACTAAATAGGCAACGCTCAATTCTGCCTCCTTTCAGCAAAATTCTGTCCCACATAGAGCGATCTCTGGAGGTACTTGTTCATTATGCTTGCTCATTAAACACCCTTTTACAACTTTTTCTTACAGCAAGTAGACATGTGACCTGAGCTATGGACCACGTCCACGGGTAACGAGTGCCCATGCATATATTTTGTAGTATTAAAATGTTTGCTTCAGGTTTATATCTGCAAAAAAAAATTTTTTTAGTAATTTTTTTAGGTCTACATGTTTATGTAAATTTTTCATGGGAAACACTATAAAAGACAATTCAGTAAAACATCTGAAGGAAGATGGGGCAGAAGGAAGATGGGGCAAAAGAAGGAATTTCTGCTCTAATGCTGAGAAAGGCTAATTCCATATCAGCATGAAACAACTGTGAAATTCTCTATGAAAGGGAGTGAGTGGGAAGCAGAATGGAATTTCTTTCTAGAAAAAGCCCTGGCATTTTCTAAATGAATTTGTCAAATCTTCCCACAATGTCTCATGCTGCAGCTGCTTCTTTCTATGGACCCAGAAGCCTTGACAACCTTGGCTGATCCTGGAAGGAAACCCCAAAGTCCCCCATCAAGCCCATGTGGCCACAGTTCACAGCATTTTCCTGTTGCATCTTTCCCATCAGAAGACAGAAAAATCAACACACTTCTGCCAAATATCCTGATCTTGTCAAAGCTGCATTTCCTAACAGCTAAGAGCTCCAGTGGGAAATATCCCATCACCTCTAAAGATGAGGCTGTACTCGTTTTGGAACTTTCTGAGAGTTGATGAGCTTGGTGAAACAACAGGTTGGAAATTACCTGTGAGGCAGGGTAGTGAGTTAACCATCTTTCGATGTGGACAGCATACCACCCAGGTGTCAGGCACCTCTTCTGGAGAGCCCTTATCTCCGAGGGCGCCCAATGGCTGGACGTAACGACTTCATAAAAATTGAATTTCAGGGCAGCGGGGTCCTCGTGGGATCGCTGATGCTAAGGAGAGATATTTAGACGCATATCACAAGGATGCTGAAGATTAAGCTGTAAGCTTCCCGAGAGCTGTTGGGACCTGAGGATCTTAAAGGTCTTTACCAACCTAAACGATTCTGTGATTCTATTCTATGACTCTATGAGGGCTGTGCTGGCATGGCCAGCCTGGCTGTAGCCCACAGCAGCCCCGTGGCTCCCCACCAGTGCCACTTCTGCCAGGCAGGGGCAGGGAAGCAGGATGGGGCCACCACTCAGTCAAGGGCAGGAGGGAGCCGAGGAGCCAAATTCTGCCAAAGTAGGGGCAATTGTTTTTACTGCTTTGCATCTCACACTGGCAGTTGCAAAGGTGCAAATGAGATCTTGAAGAGGATGCAAACTGCAGCCCTAGGCCATGTGTCATGCCTTGCAGAACTCATAATAACAGGACCAGAAATGGTGTGGTTTATCCTTATTGCAACATTATTAATTTGTGCCTGTTGTAACACTGCGTTTACTATTTCCTTTATCTATATGACTACACCATATTTCACAGGCATGCTTAAGCATCTCTTTAAAAATAGGGGGTTTTTAAATAGTGCAGGCTTTTTTATGGAAAGGTGTGGGCTTGGTAAAAGGCAAGAAAGAGCATCCTAGAGTTTCCTTGGAAAAACAACAGGCTTTCTTTTGTTTCCAAGGAGAGAAAAAAACCCCAACAACTCTCCAGACACAGCTCTTTTTAACTCTCTTGGAAACTTTAGAAGACACCGCATACATTTGTACACCACTGCGTATTGCTCAGCTTACACGCCGGAGGATGGGATGAGGTACCAGATTCTCAGCATCAAGAGCTCTGATTTCCTAGCTAGGCCATGCTCATTTTCCCCTGTGTATCTCCCTGGGCGAGGAACTCTGCTTTTCCTCTATGCAGTGTCAGCTGTAATTGAGATTAAACTGTTTGTTTACAGCTGGTGGCAGCTCTGTGCTGAGAAGTTTCATCATTTATGACACTGGTGTCACAGGTGCCAACTGCAAAAGCTGGCATTCAGCATCCTTCCGCTTGTACACACTGCAAATGCTTTGCAATAAATCCCATTCTTGCTCAAGGACACAGATTCCCACTGATTTTGGCCATCATCCCCTGCCACTGATTTTACTGTCCGTTTGTCAAAGGCACGGTCTGTACCTGGTACCAGGAATACGCTCGATCCGATGGGTCGATGAGGATGGTGATGATCTTGGCCTTGGGGATGAGGGAAGCAGCTCGCTTAGGGGCTTGCTCAGAATGGAAATAGTTGGCACTTTTCTCGAAGAGGAGGTCGGTGGTGGTGTTGGAAGGAGTGGGGAAGAAATCCATGTACCTGGGGGGTGTGAAGCAACTTATTAGAATTAGCAGTATCGCCAAAGGGTCATATCCCTGTGCTTCCCATTTCATGGTAGGTGAAAAGGTGAATTTTCAGACATAATTCTCAAGAAGCAAAATTGAATTTCTCAGCTCACTCTGGAACTGGAATAGGGGGAACACATCTTGGCTCTTACATGGTGCTGGTAATAGCTAAAGTCTCCATGAAGTCAGGTAATTAGGTTTTTCCTTTGACAAATGGGATTTTTGCTAAGAATTTCAATGCCAAAGGGATATCTTTCACCAGTTTGGAGTTTTAGCTGCAGAAAAAAAATACGAAAAGCTTCAAAACGTCAACCATTTCATTTTAACATTGTTGAAATATTTCATTTTGGAACCGACAAATCTTTCCTTTTAGACGTTTTCAGAATGCAAGTTTTGAATTTTGGCTTAGAACAGTCTTTTCCACTTAAAATTGCTTGGAAGTAAAAGTAAGTAAACCAGAAGGTTTAGCTGAAAGAGGAAAGAATTCAAATGAAGCAAAAGGTGAAATTGTTTTGGAAGCATTTTTTGGTCCCTTTAGTTTTCCTGAGCGCTCTGGGAGCTTCCAGTTTTGGCAGGACTAACTGTTTTTCATGTCCTTTCTGTGCAAATGAAGCATGCGGGGCCTCACCCTGCACACAGGGCCCTACTGACTTTTGAACCTGAAAGCCAATTTCGGTGAAGCGTGGCAGAAGAGGTCTCTAAGAGGCCGGCCTCTTCACAATGAGAACAGTCAACCGTTGGAATAATCTCCCCAGGAGAGGGGTTGACTCCGCCACATTGGACACTTTCAAGCCTCAGCTGGACAGGGCGCTGGGCCATCTTGTCTGGACCGGGCTCTTACCTAGAAAGGTTGGACCAGATGATCCTTGAGGTCCCTTCCAACCTAGGATTTTAGGATTCTATGATTCTCTATGTTGTGCAAAGGGCTGCAGAGGGGAGGTTCCCCCCCATCACCCCTCCTTCTCAGAGTGGATCGCACCATGTACTCTACGGTAGTCACGGGTGATCTCTTTCTTGAAGCAGTATGGAAAAACAAACACCGAGCACTTCTTTCCCTTCATTTTTCAAGACACCCTGAACTGAGAAGTTGGTTTCATAGTTGTGGGGACAGCCTGCTTTTATCGGTCAGCCTGGTTTGCTCTGCACGCTCTCCATTCCGTACACGGGCAAGGAAAATCGCTCAAGATTAATCTGTTTCTGTGTCGTGTGACGTTTGCCTTATACTTCAGTTTTCACACGGGGACGAGACCTGCTGTACCCCGTGGAAACGGAAGCCTTACAGAAATGCTTTTCTTAAGCGAAAGTAGTAAAAGTGATATTTAAAATTGTGATAGGGAATACCAGCTGAAGTGCTTTACAGTGGTGTTTTTTCCTCATGAAGAGACGAATCGAATCCTACTTCATGAAAAGCCGCTTTGGAAGCAAATGGGTATAATTCATTATAGATACAGTTATGGAAAGACAGATGCTATTCAGCATGAAGACAGACGTCAGAACTGAGCTGGCTAGTGTATTCATTGGTGAAAAAAATTGTTACTGTAATATCTAAACAAAACTAAGGACTTGATTAAATGCCCCATCATTACAAATTATTTCTCTGTCTGTCTGTTAACGCCAAGCATAATAAATGCATCCAGTAATTATGTTGATGCCATACATGCTTCTGCAATTGCTCCGTTGTGATTTACCCAGGATTAATAACGAACGCTTCCTTTTTGTTATTCTTCTTACCAGTCAATTCCCTTGTGATAGTTGTTCCCGTTGAAGAACTGAACTTCTTCAAAAGTTTTGGGGCTAGGGAGATTACTGATAATGGAAGGATGCATCAGAAGAAATAAATAAAGCGCTGTTGTTCCTACAACAACCAAAAGAGATGCTATTAGGAAACAGAAAAAAAACCCAACCCTTTGACTTTATTCATTCAGGAAAGTACTTTAAATTGCTGCATGCTGAGATATACAGGAAAATTAGATTACCTTTTGCAAGAAATTTGCCTATTGATGAAAGGCCTATGTAAGCACAGGGGGCTTTTTTTGGGGGGGGGTGGGGGTGTGAGGGTGGGGGTGCAAATACGTGCAGGCTTCTCTGCTCATCAAACTTTTCCCATTTCCAAACCCTGAATTCTGCTCTCTGATGCAAGCGCGATATTGCTGTTGATGACGTTGTTCGCTGGGCTGCGTATTTAACCACTGAGGGGGGATTTGGCCTGAGCACGTTTGTTTTCAAACTATTTAAGTCGCACAAAACTTTGCAAAAGCACTAATTGTGGGATTATGCTTTTGTTGCTCCCAGAACTGCCCTTTTGTCCTCCGGGTATTTTTCCTGGGGGTCTGCTATTGAGGAATAAATTGTTTATTTCAATGCTAACAAGCCCGTATGTGATAAGTATGCTTTAAAATCCCAGTAACAGGACTTTTTTGTTATGAGTTTGACAAAACCAGCTGGAAATGATGTATGGTGGTAAATGAAATTTTGGAGAATGCGTCTTAAAACTTGCTCTTCAATGATTTCATGCTACGCAAGCTATGAATCAAGCCCTGCTGTCTCTTTGTCACTGTCGCAGAATTTCTGCATGATCCTGGATTAGTCATTTATTTCCCTGCCTCGGCGTCCACTTTCTGTAATACGTCCACAACAGTAATAGCTACCTTGGGAGTGGGAATATGTGGCTTAACCCAAATAATGCCCCGAGACCCTCAGAGGCCTGCAAGGTGGTAAATACATTTATTGTCAATTAGGGTCTCAAGCTATGTTGAAATAATTTGTCAAAGACTTTAAGAACAATTTTAATACAGGGCAGCCTGGCAGCACAGGGGTTTTTACGTGGTGAATGAATGCAATTTTACTATACAAACAGTTGTCCCTTTCTGCTGGCAGTGGAGTAGTCCCTGTCTGAATCGTGTGGGGATCAGGAGTGCACCGTCTCTATAGCAGGGAGCTGGCTTCAGTTCACAGGACACAAATACACAGATACAAAACTGGGGGCCAATTCCTTCCTTCTTACCTGTTTTCTGAGGTCCTATCACAAGAAATTTGGGCAGGTGGTCGCAAGTTTTGTCTCTGGACCAAATATCCCTGTGTCGTTTATCATCACACGGATTCTGAAGAAGAAAAGGCGGTTGGGTACATCACTCTGGGGGTATCCTAAATGCTTGCACGCACACGAGTCTTTGCAGGACCTCAGTGCTATTCACTAATGCCCGAGCCTTACACTGAAGTAGTGAAACCCCGCATGTCCTCGTAAGAGTTTACTCTTGAGACATATTGAGCACTCTGGTAGGGATCCGTGGAAGCATTCAGGTACAGAGGGACCAAGCTCCTAGGTATCCTTCAGGCCCAATCCTTCCAGGGGTCCCAGTGAAGTCAGTTCTGTGCAGTTGTGCAGATCCTGGATGGATTGGTGTTAAAATCCACACCCCATGAGACTACCCCATTCCCTTTTCTCCCTTGGTCAGGGTCATTTCATAAACTCAGGGTCCACTGGCACATAGGTAGACATGTATGTGGTCCCGCTGACTAACATTCAATGTATATATAATGGTTTGGCATGACTGAGGATTAAGTGCAGTCATTAGGAAAAAAAAAAAAAAAAAAAAAGAAAAGAAAAAGAAGGAAAAAAGGTTAAAACATTGATTTAATCAAGTTTTCATTTGAGGTTAAAATGGGAACCTCTGCTTGAATAGCTTCGAGGCATTTACCTTCTTAGGTGACAAAATGGTTTCAGATGCATAGGATTTAGCGCCAATTTTAATTTGCATAAGAACCCACAAGGAAGGACAAAATAGAAATGTGGTATGTTTTTCATCTCCTTATCTTTCTACTACCTATGAATGCAAAATAAAAATGTGTGAAAAAAAAAAGACCCCCCACAAAGGTTCAGATCAACTGCTCTTTAAAGCAGGTACCATATAGGTACTGCTTTTGCATAGTATTGGCTGGTAATAGAATATACAGTTTTCTAGTGAATAAAGTTAACAAAATATAATGGAGAAAATCATTAACTGATGTGAATTGCTGCAGCTCCACTAAACTCAGTGGAAATATTAGAGATTTATACTTCTTTTGCATCTGGGCCCAAAAGAATAGGGACGTTTTCTGCTCCTTTTTGCCCATCTAAGCCCAAAATAACCGCACAGATCACCACAGTGTGCCTGCCTAGCTAAAAGCACGCCATGGCACATCATATTCCGAGTAGGAGAAGAGCCAGGTATGCGTAAGAATGATTGGGAAGTTACAGTGTTGAGATTACAGGCAGCACTAATGTGCATTTGAAGCAGAGGTAGAAAATAGTCTGTGCTGAAACCCTTTTCCATTCTTAAAATAGCTGCCCCTTCGGTGTTTGCTGCCCTCCCTTTTCCTCGCTGTCTCATTGAAGGGGGTTGGGGTGGTGGGAAAGCCTCCTCGTAGCTGCAGCGACCCAATGTTAGTGATTCCCCGTGAAGGGGTGCGATGGCTCTGCAGCGTTTGCCTTGAGACAGATCTCACCGCCGGCGACACGACTAGTTAAGACGACGCGATGCATCAGCAAAACTACAGATGGGAGGGAGGGGAATGGACGCTTTCTCCCACGTAAATGGCAATTAGGTGCTTTTGGGATGCCTGACCTGGGGTGAGTGGAAGCTAATCCATTTCTAGTCAAACGCAGTGCTGTCTCAAGAAAACTTAAATAGTCTAAGGCGGCATGCAGGAAGAAATAAATAACATCTCTGAATGTGAAAGTGTGAAGTGGGATTTTTTTTTTTTTTTTTTTACAGGAAAAGATTTTTATTCCAACAGGCGGATTGCAATTGGAGGAGGAAGAGGATGTGATGTTACCTGCCAAAGAGGGTCCGTCTGCTCCGGGAAGAGCTCAAAGTACTTCTGAGCCAGCTGAACTGGGGGCAGCGTCTGCAGTTTCAGGTTAGTCGAGCTCTTAACGAAGTTGGCTAGGTTCGCAAAGGTGTATAAGCCCAGGCGGTCGTTCCCGTAGTTAGACAAATGGGTCATGAAGATGCTGATCTGGGAGGCAAAAGAAACTTTTCAGTGGCAGGACGTGAGGAGATGGCAGCGGCTGGCTGGGAGGGCGGGGCGGGGGGGGCCTGGGGGGGTTGGCGCAC